GCCCTTACTAATGACACTGTGTCACAGCCTCTCTGGGTCGGGAGTGACCCCTCGCCTGCCGGCTGACCTTGGAGCAGGGTCAGAGCACAGGCCCCACCCACAGGGACAGATGGAGAGCTGCCAGATCCGGGTCCGGAAACGGCACGGGACAGGCCTCAGCGCAGCTGGGCCGGCTTTGGTGCTGCGCTAACAGCCGCTGGACCCGAATCAGGGCACCTCCAGCTCTCAGGACCGAGATTCACTCTCCGGGTGAGCGTGGCCTCCTGGAGAAGGTAGGAGCCCACCTGGAACTATGACGTCACGTGGAGAGGAGCAGATAACTCCGACATGTCCCGTCAGTAAGGACCCTGACAAGACCCACAGAGATGGTGACCGGCAGTGAGACCAGGCCAGGACCAGAGCTGGGGGGCGGGGGAGGGATTCGGGGCCGTGGGGCTTCCTCTGAACAAGAGGAGGGAGAGCATGTCCCTCCTGGAAGGGGCCTGGCGTGCCCTCGTCCGTCCTTCCCTCCAGCAGAGGCCCAGGTATGGTCCCTCTGGCACAGCTCAGAGCAGGCCACCAGCCAGTGCAGCGGTGCCCATGCCCTTGGCCGGGAGCCACAGCCCGCCCTGGCCCGGTGCAGCTGCCAGGCAGGGTGCTGCCTGTCTCTCGTGGTAAACTCGGAGGTGGTCCAGCGCGGACAGTGGAGTCAGTGGCTGCCTTGGCTTTTTAGGGTTTCTGCAGCCTCCCTCCCCCCCCACCCCCTGCAGCTCCGTGGGGAGTGGGCTGGTCTCTGCGCTCACCTGCAGCCCCTGCGGCTCTGGGGAGTGGGCTGGTCTCCGTGCTCACCTGCAGCCCCCTATGTGGCTCTGTGGGGAGTGGGCTGGTCTCTGTGCTCACCTGCAGCCCCCTGTGTGGCTCTGTGGGGAGTGGGCTGGTCTCCGGCTCACCTGCAGCCCCCGCGGATCTGTGGGGAGGGCACATGCAGGCTGGCCCACTGGGTGCCCCGGGAGAGGACCCAGAGCTCCCTCCGTGCGAGTGTGCAGCCTTGGCGTTGGCCAGAGGCACAGATGCTGACCCTTGGTTCCAGAGCCCACGGACCGAGGCCTCGCCAAAGCCCCAGTTCCGGGTGGGTGATGGTAAATGTCTGTTTCGTAGCCTGAGTGACTGAGCTGCCCAGTGAGCATCCTGTTCTCCTAGCGGGTGTTAGACCAGCAAAGGAAAATCAGTCCTGTTTGCTTCACTAGCATGGACTCAGAACACGAGGAATGTTACAGGACTGGAATGTAACCACCCTGAGGGGTGGCCGTGTCCAGCTGCACAGTCAGGGTGTCCCTGCTGGGCACTGTCCACTTGTCCTGTGGCCCTGCTCTTCCTATGCTTCCGTGCTTGATACATTGTATCTACAGAGGCACAGGCTCAGCACCCGGCTTGGACTTGGAGAAGTAGCTTGAATTTGAGTCCCATGAGCAATGTGATCTGGAGCCAGTAATGCCCCCTCTTCGGCCTGTGACTGCTCACGCTGCAGGGAGGGTGACAGCACCTTGCGTCGGGCTCGCCGGGAGCAGCTGAGCACGGGTGGCTCCCTGGGGGCAGGGCCTCCACCCTCCCACCCAGCCCTCGTGACGTGCTACCTGGTCTCGCACGCATGCATTCAGTTTTTACAGAAGAGTCAAGTGGCTCTTTGCCAGGCTTCTTACTGGCTCAGGCACACACGTGACAGAGACCACGGGCTCCGAGTCGCGGGGAGGGCGATGAAGGCGGTTCGGAGATCACCTGAGTGCTAGGCGGCCTGTCCGCACGGTTTGGGCCAACCTTTCTGGAGGCTGGCCGTCTACTCGAGTCCCTCCTGCCGATGGCTTCGAGGCACCTTTGCCCTGTGATCCAGAGAACAGCTGGGCACCCAAGGGCCAGAGAGCAGGGTCCCCGCCGGGCACTCTGGGTGCCTGGAATGGAAATGACTACGGACGTGAGTCACCTGGAGAGGCTGAGGACCAAACCTGTCAGGCAAAGGCGCCCCTGGAGGGAGCTGGGGTCCCTTCAGCCCAGCCGGCTGTGGCTCGATTCTTAACACGCGGCGGGTGGCGCTCGGGCATTGCGGGGAGGCCGTCTGACACTCTCGGTCTTCCCGGGGGCTCCCCACGCGGACACAGACCCCGTGTCCCCCACAGTGAGCACTGAGGTGACAGGTGTGTGAGCCAGCAGGACACAGGGCAGGGCCTGCTCAGCTCTGCCCCAGCCACGCTGGCTGTCTCCGCTCAGGCCCTCGGCCCTGCCCACCCTCACGCTCCCCATCCAGACACAAGACCTCCCATGTTCATTTTATTTAAAGATTCAGAAACACAGGCATCATAGTTTGTCATCATCGTAAATTCTTCCAAAGTCACACACTGAGATTTGTGTCTAACAAAACCACTGGGGGGTGTGCGCACGCGAACTGTGCAAAGTACAAAGACATTCCCAGCCAGGCCGCTGAGCGTATTTGGGGCACCAGAGTCAGGGAAGCTCTGGCCCAGCTCTGTCTCCCCACCTCCCTCCCACACCTTGGTGTCCACTGACCTCCCTCAGTGGTGGCCATGGGCTCCACTGTGCTCCTCAAAGCAAGTCACCTTGTTGCCAAGTGCACTGCACCGCCAGCTGTCAGCCCTGGGCTGGCGCGGAGCACGAGGGCTTCAGGCAAGGTGGTGTTTTACCTTCGCAAATAAAATCAGTGTGTCCTTCGAGGCCAGACGGCCCAGCGGAAGGGCTCAGTCCTGCCCCTGCTTGTCTGCAGGTGAACCGGACATGAAGGCTGATGGGTGTGGCTGGGTGTATCTGAAAACTCAGCCCAGAGCATGGGGCCTGCTGTGCACCTGCCTACCTCTGGGTATCCCCGTTTGCTCTGCGAGCCCCCGGAGAGGGTGCGCGGCTGGCTGGGCCTGTGGCATCACTTTCCTTCCCAACTCAGTACCCATGTCCCCTCCCCTGATTCTGCCACGACAGGGGCAGCTGGTGCTTTCAAAGATGCTGGACACTTGCCCCAGCTCTGCTGTGAGGGGTGCTGAGCTCAGCAGGCTGCCGCCCCTCATAGTCACTGAACTGCTCAACACTTCCCATCTGCCACAAGCATCGTGTGGGCGTGGCCAGGAGAAGAACGGTCAAAGCGAGTCTACTCTGTTGCTTGGTAACTGCTGTTGGTTCTTTTTTTATTTTTATTTTTTTAGCCTTTTCTTATTATTTGGGGATTTCAGTTCATTGTGGTTTCAGTGGAGACCTGCTCAGTCAGCATGTGAATCCATGCATGTTTTGGGGGATGATGTGATTTTAAATGTGCACACGGTGTTCACGCAAGGCAGGCAGTGAAGTTGGCAGCGGATGGTTGTCGTTAACTTGTGCACAGGGCTCCCTGTGTTCAAAGAGTATTTCTGTCTGATTCAGAACCAGTGTCTCAAGTCTATTCACGCTATCATGAGCCAGAAAAGGAGCCTTCCTTTAGAACGATGCCGCCAGTAGCACAGATCCAAGTCACGTCCCCGAATAGAATGCTGAAAAACGCTGAAAATAAGCGTTTGTATTTCAAAGGCCTTGTGCCAGGTGAGGGAATCGGTTTCTGCATTTCCCTGCATCCCTAAAAGTCAGGGAGATCTCACGTTACCCAAGGCTAATTTATTCAGCCTAATTTAAACCTGAGTGATCGTGTATAAGTATAAAGAGAGGGTTTACAAGTTGTGACTTTGAACAGATAAGAATGTATTCCTAAGGTATGAATCTCTTGAAAACGAGATGGCCTCATGACAGGCAGTGTCTGAAGGGGACACTGTTGGACTCGGGACTGTGTCCTGGACCCCAGCTGCAGAGGGTGCCAGGGCCGGAGCTGCCCCTCCCCCCCAGTTCCCTGGCCCTCCGGCTATGGGATGACCCCCCTGTCACCCTCCTAGACTTCTAGTCTCCAGACCAAGGTATGCTCTGCTTGACAGGGGGGCAGTTATATATTTTAAAAAGGCAAAACCTTCACCAGGTTTTGTAAACTGTGAAGGACTGATTATATCTGAGCTGTGGTAAAAACTGTGCATTTCAACAGTGAGAAATCATGTTTTGATAAAGCTAATTGTCATTCTCACTAAAGCAAAAACAGGAAAATTCTGTTCTTTTAGGCTGGGGTGGACCTTCATGTCCTTTTTACTGCGCACAAAAGGCAATTAGAGTGAGTTTCCCCAAATGTTTCCTGTTCTTGACTCGTCACTGTCACTGTCTGGAAGAGCGGGGGCTGTGGGCAGTGTGAGGACACCGGTGTTTCCAAACCCCCGGGCGCCCGAGGCGGACCCCGGCCCTGGAGCAGCTGCCACAGCTGAGGACCTGGTCCGCGGAGCTCTCCAAGTTCAGGCAGCGGATACGAAGCCCGCCCTGAACGTCCGGGCAGTTTCCCTCCCACCAGCCCATCCCTACAAAAGGCAGCACCAGCTGAATGAGAAACAGGCAATGAGTGACGGTTAGAAACACAGTTCACATCGTAAAGACTAAGAAAGAAGCCAGGCGAGGGACAGTGCTGGCCGACAGGGTGGCCCTCAATGCTGGTGGGCACAAGCCAGGGGGAGCTGCCCGAGCCCCACCGGAGCTGCGGGCCAGGCCCCCCCGGGCGGTCGTGCAAGCAGGTGGCAGGCGACTGAGGTATAGAGGTGGTGGAGCCATCTGGGCCCCGCAGCCCAGGCGGCCGACCCAACATCCTGCGAACGCCCAGCCACGCAGGCCTGCGGCCTTCCCAGGCGGCAGCGGGACGCAGCAGCCCCCGGCCCGGCAGCAAGGCAGCGGGCACCAGCATCCGCCTCTCTTTCCAAAGGTATTTCCTTACAGTTCACACGGGGTAGGCCTCATCCCAGAACCACCCCCGGGAGTGCTCTCGGCTGGGGCTGTGGGTGAAGGCACCGCCTCCACACCCCTGGGCCCCCACCCCAGGCGCCCCTGCCACGGGCCGTGGAAGGGACCTGAGACCTGCGGGTGCTGGCTCCCCCTTGCGCCCGGGGCTCCGGGGAGGCCTTGGCCCGCCGAGGGCCGAGGGTCCGTCCTCAGAAGCTCTCCACGAAGCTGCCCGGGAAGAGGCCTGTGCGGCCGTTCCTCTGAAGCGTCCCCTTGAACCAGCCGTCCTCACGCTTCTTGTGCACAAAGACAACGTCGCCCTCCTTCAGCTCTATCTCCGCCTCGCTCTGGGGCGGGTACGAGACCACCACACGGTACCTGGAGGGGGACAGACACACAGGGGTGAGCCTGGCCCACGCCGGCCAGAGGATGACCCAGGGTCTGCCCCACTGTCTGCTGGAAGAATCTCCCTCTTCTTTCCTTTTCCCTCTGGTGTTGTCATTTGGGGTTACTCTTCCCACGTAAAACAATTCTAATTTTTATTAAAGATTTGACAGCACTCCTTCCCTGTGGAATCTTAGACACTGATCTGTGCAGCTGGAATGTCATCAGCCCAGATGCCACCGCCCATGTCCCCCCCAGGCCACCCCAGACTGCGGCCCCCCTCAGGCTGGGACGGAGGCGCAGGCACGGGTAGGCGAGGGCGAGCGGCTGTGTCCTGCCATCTGCCCCACCCTGCACGGGCCCCTGCACCAGTGCCCTCAGCTCCCGAGGGCCAGCTCTCTGAAGGCGGGGGTGGAGGTCGCCTCCCAGGCAGGTGCCCCACGTGCGGTGTTAGAGGCAGTGCCAGTGGGTCGTCCATCTTTACAATGTGCTCCGAAGACCACAGGTGCTGCGGCCTTAACCCGAGCGGGCTGGGATCACACCACATTCCTGCAGAACCGGGGCCCCTCCCTGGGGCCTCTGAACTCTGTACCTTTCGTCTTCCAACATTTCATATGACACAATCACAGTGGTGACAGGACCCGCCGGGCCCCTGGAGGGGAGGCTGTGGGCCTGAGCGCGGATCCGACCAGGCACAGAACCCTGAGGCCCCCCTGCCTCAGCAGGTGCAGGGGTGGGTGGACACAGGTGCTGTCCCAGGTGCTGCCTCCCCAGTTCCCTGGATCTGAGACAAGGGGCTGACCCTCTCTGGCATCCTGCCAAGAGCCCCAGGTCAGCACAGGGTGGGTCTAGCACAGCCCCCACACCTGTCCTCCAGCCTCAGAGGAGACAGGTTGAGAAGCAGTTGTTTGTCTGCGGACCAGCCTTTTAGCACCTTCGAGGACAAGCCAGCGAGTGCCCTGGGCCCGCACCCCTCACCACCCCAGCCTGGCGGGACCTGCTCCCCCCCACCCCGGCCTGGCGGGGACTGCCCCCCCCCCCGGCCTGGCGGGGACTGCTCCCCCCCACCCCGGCCTGGCGGGGACTGCCCCCCTCCCCCGGCCTGGCGGGGACTGCTCCCCCCCACCCCGGCCTGGCGGGGACTGCCCCCCACCCCGGCCTGGCGGAACTGCCCCCCCACCACCCCGGCCTGGCGGAACTGCCCCCCCACCACCCCGGCCTGGCGGAACTGTGCCCCCACCACCCCGGCCTGGCGGAACTGCCCCCCACCACCCCGGCCTGGCGGAACTGCGCCCCCACCACCCCGGCCTGGCGGAACAGCCCCCCTTCACCCCGGCCTGGCGGAACTGCGCCCCCCCCACCCCGGCCTGGCGGGACCTGCCCCCCCCACCCCGGCCTGGCGGGGACTGCCCTCACCACCCTAGCCAGGGGACTCAGGGGTGTGCTTGGCAGCAGCCTGCGCCCTGCACCCACACAGCTGGTGACATGCAGGCCGTGCTGAGGAGCCTGCCAGCCTACCAGGCACGGGGCTGGGCTCCAGGACAGAGTCTAAGTACTACACGTGAACGGGCTTGGTGGCAGGCAGGGTGTACCACTCTCACCCCCTAAAAACTGCTTGCTGGAAGTTGCTACAGACATGAGTAGGCGAGGCGGCCGGGGGCACTGGGCCTGCTCAGGCCAAGATGCGCAATGACTGCTCCTCGACTGACCAGGCGGGGCGCTGAGCCTGGCTGCCACAGGGCACGCCTCCGGCCACGTTAGGCCACCTTCTCCCGGCGACCTCGCCACGGGCGCCTCCATGGTCCCTCCTGGTTGCTGCACCGCAAGCCACGCTGGAGGGAGCTGCAGGCCTAAAGGTGGGACCGGTGGGCTGAAGGGTGGGGTGCGGGGGGAGCTGGAGAAGCAGAGAGGGCAGGAGCGGGGTGAGTGGCATCTGGGGGCCGGGTTTCTGTTGCTGGCAGAGGGACAGGCTGGGCCATGGGCGGTGCTGTCAGCAGAACCTGCAGCTCCTACCCCGACTCAGTTTGTACAGCTGACCCAGGCCTCTGACGCCCCTCCTGTGGGCAGTGAGAGAGGAGAGGATGGAAGTGTGTGGGGGCTGGGCAGGGAGAACAGTGCTGCAGCTCCTCTGCTCAGGCGCCCAGGCCACAGGGCCCTGGGCCCTCTCCCCGAGCCCTGCAAAGCCCAGGGCTCAGCCTGTGTCCAGCCACACAGGTGCTATGCACCCCCACTGCCGTCTGCCACACCTCCAAACTCTCCTGGGCTCTCCTCCCTCCCTTCTTCTGAAGAAGGCTGCAAAACCCCTCGATGTGGTGAAGGCCCCTGACGATCTGCACGGTGCTGGTAGGCCCCAGAGGCCCAGGGCCTGACCTGGATTAGAGAAGCCACTCTGAGGAGACACCACCCTGCTGTCCCTTCCTCCCTTGGAGTGTCTAGGCCGTGGTCTGTGTGGGGGGATGGGGGAGACTTTTTCACCCCCATTCTTTCTTGGGCTGTTGGCCAGCTGTAAAGGCCCACCCCCATCCCTGCCTCTCTTCTTTGGCCACAGCCACACAAACAGCCCCTGGAGGAGAACACCCAGGTGCCCCGGCAGCAGGCTGTCCTGAGGGTTCTCAGGAGGAGCCGTCTACCTGTGCATTCTGATCTTATGAAACCAGGACATTCACTGTAAAGCAAGGGATCCAAGTCAGCATCTCTCAGAGTGGCCCAGACTTCAGGACCTCTGCCCAGGTCTCTGTGTCCATCCTGTGCTGACTTGCTGAGATACTGGAGGAATGAGGCAAGGAACATGGATTTTCAACAAATTCGGGGGGGGGGGGCATGTATGCATACTGATGTCTGAGAATCAATGTGCTGGGCATGTTGAGCCTTGGGCCGGGCTCATGGTCATTGGCCGTTGAAGTTCAGAGCTCTGGGGTCAGAGCTGTGAAGGCTGTGCTGAGTGTGTAACTCATGCTGCAGATTCCATTTTATTCAGGCAGACTTTTCCTCTCAAAGCAGCATTAGCCTGGGCAGAAACAGTTGCTTCAACTGCTGGAAATCCTCTCTCCCTGCCCACCTGAGGGAGTTTTCATGCAGCTTAGAGCTACAACCTGAGGCTCATTAAGTAACTGAGACTAACAGCCTGCAGGCACACGCTCTGGGATACTTGAATATTTTCCTGGCCTCTGACTGTACCCAGGAAAGTAACACCAGACATCGGTGTTCAGCTTGGTCCCTTCATACTCATCCAAACCCAGCAGAGGGAGCCACAATCAGAGGAAAATCGATACCACAGGGAGATTTGGAAGGCTCCAAACTGCTGAGACAGCCAAATGATGAAACAAAGAAACAAATCCCAAATGAAAGAACAAGAGAATTCTACACAAGAAGGGCTAAATAAAATGGAGATAAGCAAGTTATCAGATGTAGAGTTCAGAGTAATGATTATGAGGAAGCTCAACAGTATGAGTAAAAATATAGAAACAATAAAAATCAACCAATTGGAAATGAAAAACAACCAAGTGAAAATAAAGAGTGACATAGCAGAAATAAAGAATTTCTTTATTGAAAGAAATAATCAGCAGATTAGAGGAAGCCAAGGTTCAGATCAGTGAATTAGAAGACAGGCTAGAAAAAAAATCACTCAGAGAACCAAAAAGAAAAGACAATTAAAAAATAGGAGGAGAGTTTAAGAGAGCTGTGGGACAATATGAAACATAAATATGCAACATAGGAGTTCCAGAAAAAGAAAACAAGCAATGTTTAGACAATCTGCTTAAAGAAACAGTGGCAGAAAACTTCCCTAACTTGGTGAAGGAAAAAGGCATACATGTTCAGGAAGCACAGAGAGTCCCAAGCAAGTAGAACCCATAGAGGCCCACACCAAGACACATCAAAATTAAAATGCCAAAAATTAAAGACAAAGAGAGAATATTTTATTTTATTTTATTTTATTTTATTTTATTTTATTTTATTTTATTTTATTTTATTTTATGGAGAGAAGGGGGAAGAGAGAGAGAGAAGCATTGATGTGAGAGAGACACATCGACTAGTTGCCACCCACACAACCCCAACCGGGGCTGGGGACAAACTGCAATAAAGGTACATGCCCTTAGCGGGAACCGAACCTGGGACTCTCCAGTCTGCAGGTCAATGCTCTAACTGCTGAGCCAAACCGGCCAGGGCACATAGAGAGAATCTTAAAGTCAGCAAGAGAAAAGCAACAGGTTACCTACAAAGGAGCCTCCATGAGGCTATCAGCTGGTTTCTTAACAGAAACACTACAGGTCAGAAAGGAATGGCGTTAAGTATTCAAAGTAATGAAAAACAGGGATCTGAATCCAACTGTTCTATCCAGCAAGGCTATCATTCAAAATAAAAGGTGAAATAAACAGCTTCCCAGACAAATAAGGCTAAGGGAATATAGTAGCACCAAACCAGCATTGCAAGAAATGTTAAAAGGACTGCTGTAATAAACAGAAGAAATAAAGAGAAACATAGATATAATAAATAAAAATGGCAATAAATAAGTACATATCTATAATAACCTTAAATGTAAATGAATTAAATGTTCAAAACAAAAGACACAGAGTAGCTCAATAGATAAGAAAGCATGGCCCATATATATGTTGTCTACAAGAGACAAAAGACTCACATAGGTTGAAAGTGAAGGGATGGGAAAATAAAGTTTCCAAGCAAATGAAAATGAAAACAAAAAACTGGGGTAGCTTATTCATATATGATAAAATACATTTCAAAATGAAGGCCATAACAAGAGACAAGAAGGCCACAACATAATTTTAAAGGGATCAATCCAACAGGAGTATATAATCTTGGCAAACATATGTGCACCCAATATAGGAGCACTAAAATATATTTTAAAATTTCTGGAGGATTTTAAGAGAAAAATTAACAGCACTACAATCATAGCAGGGGACTTCAACAGTCCACTGACATCACTGGACAGATCCTCTAGACCAAAAATTAACAAGGAAATAGGGACCTTATATGCT